CTGAAATGTCCGCAGGTTAACCTAACTGCCTCATACTTTAATGTAAGTCAACCTGGATAATACCCAACCTTTCTATCCTCTCTGAGGTGTCTGTCGTCACAGTAAGGACATATAATGATCTTCTTTGGGCAGTCTTTGTCGACATGCTTCTCGAAAAATCTTTTCTGGAATCTGGCTCCGCACTCATATGAACAGAGCATGTCCACGAACTCACAGTCATCTGCGTGTTCCTAAAGAAGAAGGAAAAGATTAGACCTCATCAGTAGCGATGCTGTTACTCTAAAAGTACATTGTCGACCCCAGAACTCTTCTCTTTCAATCGGAGGAACAAATACCAGTTGGTGGCGAAATCCCGCCTCCGAGACAGGACTGAGCCCGCGGTGTTCGTCCTCGAAGTTGCAACATGACGTATTTGCTGGCGTGATTGCTTTTGGAGTACTTGTGATTGCTCACGCTAGTTTCTGATTGGATAAAAAGATTCGGAAACTCTTCAAGTGCTTACACGAAGATATGCCAAAACCGGAACTTGTTCCCACGACTGGTTTGCGCATGTTCTACGGAAAGAAGAGCTCTGGGGAAGTCTGTGACAGAGTCTGCTCTAAATGGTTTTCGTTTGAAAACGCTTCTGATTGGTCAGTTTGATAAGCGCGAAAATAAAATTAAACTTACGTCACTGGCGGCTGGAGTTAAGCGCGAAAAAAGGCTCTGGGGTCAAAAATGTTTTAAGTAGGCTTCTAGAATGGTTTTCTAATGACTACCGGTAGTAATGACCTCCAGTCAATCACAACAAACGCAAATGACACAATTAAAATATTTTGTCAATATTGTCATTCAATCAGAAAATATTGCGCGCAATAGTCACGAGCATTCCGACCAATTTTATGAAAAATTCAATTTTCGGCACTTTTTCCTAAAAAAAAAAGTGATTCAGGATTTCACCACGACAAACGCTACGATGAAAAATTGACTGGAGATCTGACTGGTGAACAATCTCTGCGGATAGGCAGAAAAAGGTATGTGGACAAGGTGTGTGCGATGGGGACAAATACACAGATGGCTGTCACGTGCTTAACTTCATCAAATCAATCTCTATTTGCAAGCTGGAGAGTTCTACGCTTTAAAGACCACAATGCCTGTTGTGAAAATCGCTTTAATTTACAATACCTGCTTTGATAGTCGACATGCGTCCCACATACCTGAGCATTTTGAAATTCTCCTTCCCATTTGCAGCCCCATTCGTGATTGTTACACTTGACATCAAGCTCTAAAATCTCCCGATTAAACGCCTTGTCAACGTACGCCTGGAAAAAGAGAAGAAAACTGATTTTTATGGAATACATTCTTTAGGCATCAAGAGCCCATAGTTAGGACGATTCTCTATATAACCACCATCGAATGCTAAAATTAACCAAATTATTCGCATACCCAATCGCTACGTTCGCAAACAGCGCCAAAAACAATCAGAACTCTGAGCCGGAACATGGTGGCAAGCGCGGGAAAGGTCGCGTGCATGAATCAAATTGCGACTGGGTTACTCAGATTGGTTAGAATAACTTGCACGAGATTCTAAGCCAATCACTAAGGTGCAAGGACGGTACAAAAAACTACTGGTTTCAGTTGTACACATGACGAAATCTGCAACCACCAGCCTTGATTAATTCAAGTTATCGAACTCCCCAAAAATCAAATGTAGCCTGGCCCCAGTTTTACTTACAGCATCTTTGTTGATCTGATTTTGATCGATTGGGCAGCGTGGCTCAACTCTGTAAGCAAAACAACAACAAAATATGTTTAAATTAATTCTAAGATCAATGTTTAAAGAGCTATGTCACGATATTTTAAGTCATTTTTGCGAAGTGCAAAATCACCTTCAAATTGCAGAAAGCCTCAAAATAATAGTTTACTAAGGTAGAAAAACACCAAAGAGGTGATAATAAACCAAACAGGAACAAGGATGGTTGAGGATGGAGAAGATTAAGACGGATTTCGAATGGCGAACTTGAAAAAAAATGGCCAATTTTTTCAAGATGCGCCAACCGTGACGTAGCTCCTTTAAGATCAGACACCGCCAGACTCCATGGCCTTTTGTCACTGAATCGAATACACACGCTAGCATGACCACAATATCGCGTCGTGTGCCACGCGTCTCGCAGGTAAGATTTTGTACATAGAATATTTTAAAAGATGAGAAATAACCTCACCTTAGTAATGTAGGAAAACACGCTGAACAAACTCTGTGCCCACACTCTTCAAACTGCACTGGGTATCGGAGCACATCTTTGCATACGGGACATTGGTATTTCTCAGCCAATGGAAAAACAAACGTCGCCTTAATCTTCTCTCTCGGCTGTGGCTGGCCCAGAGAGGCTGGGCTGGCATGACCGCTGGTTGGTCGAGAGCCAATGGGACTTTGTATTCCCCCAGCTGTGAATTCCTACCAGTGTGGAATTAGGTTTGGTTTAATTTATCATTGATGGAGACTAGCACGCGAAAGTGCGACAGCTGGTTCGTACAATTGACTACTGTTGTCAGCAGCAGCAGCAATAACGACAGCGACAGTGACAACAACAAAACACTCTAGCAACAGTAAGAACAACAACAACAACAACAACATGCAACAACAGGCAACAGCATTAACAACAACAAAAAACATCAGCAACAGTAGCAGCAACATTAATAACAACAACAACAACAACTCAAGCACCAGCAACAACATTAACAAACAACAACAAAAGCAACAGCAACAACAAAAATAACAACACCAAAACACCAGCAACAGCATTATCAACAACAGAAACTCTAACAACAACAGTAGCAACAACAACAAGAAAACACACACAACAGCATTGTCAACAACAACAACAACATTAGCAACAACAAGAAATCACTAGCAACAGCATTAACAACAACAACAACAGCAACAAGAAAACACTAGCGATAGCATTAACGACAACAACAGAAACAGTAACGTCATTAACAGCAACAAGAAAACACTAGCAACAGCATTAAAAAACAACACTCAACATTAAAAACAACAGCATTAACAACAATAAGCAAAGACGACTTTTCTCAGACTCGTGTGCTGTAGAACAACTGCTTTCCTTCATATAGTGTGGATAAACATAGACTGCTAGACTGCAAAACAGTCCGTATTTTCGCGCGAGAGTGTCGGGCTGAACGCGGCCGAAGGATCTGGAACGAGCGTGAAATTACGAGTGGGATTGGGGAGAGACGCTATAAATACGGACTGTCGCCTTTCCATACATGAAATCCGTTCCGAATTCTGCGTTGCTGGAGAAACGCAAAATTCCGATTGGTCCGTTTTCGACGTAATCTGTCATCGGACATCATTCTCGTCCCCGGAGGCCTAACCACAAACAGCGTCAAACATCGATCAGTTCGCGGGCGGTATAAAGACAGTCCGGACTTTGATAGATGCGCTTGCAAGACAATTTCACGCTCGTTCCAGATCCTTCGGCCGCGTTCAGCCGACACTCTCGCGCGAAAATACGGACTGTTTTGCAGTCTAGGATAAACACTAATTAGCTAATTAATGTGGAATATTGAAAAAAAAAAAATAACACAACAGTATTGCGTCCTCTCTCTGTCTCTCTCATTTCCCGCGTTTGTTTATCTACTTTAAAAGTCATACTAGGGTTTCGTCCGTTATATAAGGACGATCTGTTGATACTCGGTAATTAAAGGTATTTCAGATTGTAATTCAAAGAAAAAGCGGTTTATCAAAGACTCCGTTATGGCGGGACGTCTAAATCATTCAGATTGATTCTTTATCTTGTAAATGGAGGGGTTCTTTAAATTAGCTTCTACTTGGTTTTATGTGATTCAATCATCAAATGTTTATCAAATCTGGCTCGTATAGGAAATCAAAAATCTGAAGAGGAAAAAATCAATCATTTTGGTTCAACTTCTTCTCAAAAATACTTTGTCAACATAACAGTGTTAACCTAACGACCAAGAAATAACACTGTGGAATAGATTCTAATTGAACATGAAAATCACTGTTAGTAGTGTTTCAAAACTGCAACAATTAATACAAATTTTGACCTATTCTTTATTCTTAATTCTCAAATAATTAAACTTGGGGTTTTTAATAGTAACATTTCTTAGTACTGCTTTCTGGTTGAAATTAAAACCACTTGTATTTGGATTAAGTGAGCGAATCTAAGTCTGTATTAATTAAAATATTTTGCCTTTGTTTAACAACGTTTGAATCATTTTTAAAGTAAATATTCCTACCTCTGTTGCTTTTATCTGGGAGATAATTTCGTTGACTAAAATTTGCCCTCCATTTCTGTTTTCCATTTGGAATACCAACCAGAGAATTCATTCAAGTATAAACAAACAACGATCGCTGTAAAAAGTACACTAATTTGGTTTCCTGTATTATCAGCCAATCAGAATTGTTCTATTTTAATCCCGTCACCTGCCGCCCGCAGAGCTTGCTTCTCGACCAATCAGCGCTTTCGACAGTGTTTGATTTTTTTCGCATCCGCGGAAAACCAAACAGAATATTCAATTTGTACTTTATAGCTGTCGTTCACAGAATACATGTCACTCAGAACCAATTCAAGACACTCAATGCAATTATGACTATTATCCCAAAAGGTTGAAGTTTCTAAAATGACAAAGAATGAGATTGATGCCTAAAATAATCAACAGTTTCACAGCCGAATTACTGATTCGTAAGGTGTCAGTATAAATTGGTAAGAATTGGCCATTTCCGAGTTGCCTTTTGCCTCTGTTTCAAAACGAGTCCTGGTGCGAAACCATTCAAATGAAATTTAGTTGAATTTGCATGAAAATGAACATGTGAGTAAAGCTCATTTTCATTTTCATATAAAAGGTTGTGTCATTTTCTTTCCACAAATTCCGTCTGCGACGCAGGCTAAAAATTCTCAATCATCGACAAATCTAATCCTAGCAGTATGCGGGATGTTTGTCACACTTGAACCTAGTTACATGGCCTTAGCTCCCACGAGTCTCCTGTAGCTCAGTGGTAGAGCGTCCGACCGGTGTGTCACGGGAAGGTCATAGGTTCGACTCCTGTTGGGGGAACTCGGAACCGAGTAGCTTGTGTCACTGACAGAATAATATCTTTCTAAGGTTGTGTCATGTTGTTTTTTAATCCTCAAGTGTGAGCAACATCTCATTTCTTCTTACAATATCAATACATTGTCAAGCAGACAGGTGATGAGAATAAAGAAAATCATCACTAGGGGATATTTCGTCGATGTACCACCATAAGCTTAGGATGATAAGCTTCTGGTACCACCAAATTCTCAGAACTAACTTTTAAAAGAATTGTATGAGAATTAGTAAGGGAAATAAATGTTTAAAGGGGCTATGTCACGATATTGTAAGTCATTTTTGCGAACTGCAAAATCACCTTTAAATTGAAGAAAGCCTCAAAATAACAGTTTACAAAGGTAGAAAAACACCAAAGAGGAGATAATAAACCAAACTGAAACAAGGATGGCTGAGGATGGAGAAGATTAAGACGGATTGCGAACGGCGAACTTTGAAAAAATTGGCCAATTTTTCAAGATGCGCCATCCGTGACGTAGTTTCTTTAAGCAATCAGACAAAAGTGTTATTTGTTTACTAACAAAAGTGGTACTTTACACTTCTATTGCTTCAGTAAACGTGAAAAGCACTAAAGTAACCAAACTGGGAATTTAATAACAAAATGAATTTATTCACCATGTAAAAGTTTGCACGAACACGCGATGTTTTACCGACGTTTTTTCAAATTACGCGAACTGAGAGTTCAAACATCGGATTTATCACGACTGCGGACGATTGGATCCGAGTTTCACCGATAGCAACTCGGAAATATTCGGGTTTACACGTGATCGATAGTTTTAGTCAAACAGTTTAATAACCTCGCACATTAAGCGCTGCACAAGTTCTACTTAGTTTCCACAACAATATGCAGCAACATTGCTCCTAGTCTCTCGGCATTTTTCTCTATGCCGAGCGCAGAGCGTCGTGCAAGGTCCTGGAAACGAGTGACGTCATAAATTTGCAACGTCACGAGGTATTGGAAAAAGAACGCATGGCAAAGCTAGGCCCCTGACGAGACATTCTCTAGTGTAACAGTAGATGTGAGTATTTGGTGAGCTGACTGTGAATGAGCTGTGTTTCTAAACTTGTACTGGATAAAGTCCTGATAAAGTTCATAGAGTGTTGTGTTACAATGTATTGTGAGACTGTGTTGAATTATCAAATTATCTCGTTTAACTCTCGTACAACTCTGGGGAGGTCTTTTGAAAATCCTGCTATAAGCAGAATACAGTTATAAATAATCATACAAAAATGGCTTCCACCATCAAACCGGTTAAACTTGTTTTCACGGAAACAGCGAAAACTGTACAAACTGTTTCCGTTAACAACCAACACAGCACAACTGACATAAATAGGAATTTAAATGGGTTTCCTGTGCCCGTGTAAACGTTCAGTTTATAAAACGTGCCCGTTTAAACTTGGGGTAAAATGTTCGTCGAAAATATTCTTATTTGTACAAAGGTCGAGTGAAAAGCCCGGGGGGACTCCCATATAAAAGTGACGGGGGTGATCGTCGGAATTTTGGAAAATAACCCCTAAAAGGTACCAGGGTCTCGTTTTGTGTGCGTGGCTCGAATTAATTTTCACCTCTAAGAGGTACAAATTCTATGACAAAACTAGTTCTTGTCATATTTTATTTTCCGGCTTAATACCCTAAAAGGTACCGGAATAACTCTAACGGTAGTCATTTTAGATTTTAACATCCTAAGCGGTACCAAACCACGAATTTTAACCCCTAAAAGGTACGACGATCACCCCCGTCACTTTTATATCGAATTCCCCTCGGGGGGGGGGGGGGGGGCGGTGAAAACGACACTCTTATGTACAAGCATTTCTTTCTATAACACGCAGAACTGTTTAAGTTCGTTGACATTGTTCGATATCGGAAAAGTCTTGAGATGATTGTTGGAAGTCTGCATTTTAATGGCTTCCTGTCTATCATGGTTCATTTTCAAGCCATTCAAGTGATGTCCATTCCGCCCTTGTGCTTTCACTAGATTTGTGAGCCTTTCCACTTCATTTGCCAGCGTCTCAATGATTTTTCTGCACTTCCGCCGTTCTTTTCCGATCATTGTGTTGAGCTCTTCCACTTTTCTTTCCAGATCTTCGTTTCGCTGCCGTTCGCTGTCAATCATAAGATGCAATTCGCCGATCTTCATTTCAAGTTCCCGGATTTCCCAGTCGGTACCAGGCTCCCGAATCGCTTCCTGTACCACGACTTTGGGTTCTTTGGCAGTCAGCTGCTGCTTCAGCTGTAAGAAATATTATTGGACGACAATTCGTTAGTGCTTTATGGTTGTAGAAAATGAGTTGGATAGACTGACTGATTTTTGTTTCTGACTTTCTCTAAGATTTTCCATGCATATCTGTATTTCGTTTGACTGTGAGCGGACACTACAGGAGATGTTGAATCTGACAGCTAATACTAAGACTTTAATAGGGAAGCAATGTTACACCTAGCCTGTTCCAGGCGTTCGGATAGTGGAGGAGCGACGCGAAAAGACGCGCATTCGCCCCCCCTCCCCAATCCCCACGCCAATTATTCACTCACCATTCTTCGCGCTTCGCGCGTCTTTTCGCATCGCTCCCCCACTATCCGAACGCCTGGAACAGGCTATGTTACACCGCTAAAATCTAACAACGCAAGATGTAACAACGCGAAATGTAACAACTTTTGACGCAAAATGTAACAACCTTGTCGATAGATGTTTGCTATCCACAGTGTGCAGTTGACTAAACTTGGTCATAACAACCTTCAAGGAGCTATGTCGCGTTATAATCCATCAAAATTTTTTCTCGCGCGCGATTGGTCTAAACACGTCACGTGACGCAGCCAAAACTGGGAAATATCCGGGGTGATATTCCCCAAATGATATTCCCCAGTTTTGAAAATTTGCGTTTCACGTTCGCAGGTTCAGTTTTCGTCTAAAATAAATTGCTAAATTAAATAGAACTGATTGTTTTGAACAGACTAGAAATATTTTTGAATGCCAGCAGAATTATTTTGATGTTTAACAGCTTGGCGTCCTTGGCCGACCGAGATCTTCCACGGCAAACAGAGCGGCCTTGTGAAAAAATATTTGAAGGATAATAACTACAATAGCCTCCATTTGGCTTCAAAAATATGCTCGGATATTTGTCCTTGGACATTATCTGTTCCTCGAAGCTCACAGTCTTCCTCGAGCTTCGCTCTCGGAAAACTGTTCGCTTCTCGGAACAGATAATGTCCGCGGACAAATATCCTCGCCAAATGGAGGCTATTGTTTATATATTTTAAGTCATTTATCACCTTTAAATTGAAGAAAGCCTAAAAATAATAGTTTACTAAGGTAGAAAAACACCAAAGAGGTACTGAATAATAAACCAAACAGGAACAAGGATGGTTGAGGATGGAGAAGATTAAGACGGATTGCGAACGACAAACTTGAAAAAATTGGCCAATTTTTTCAAGATGCGCCATCCGTGACGTAGCTCCTTTTCAGCACAATTTTAGCTATTACCTTTTGATAGTCAAATTAACATGAGTGCGACTGTGACCGTGACCGATCCGTTCGGAGTATGGACTTTTCGGATTTATAATCCGTTTTTGATCTGCCGGGTCGTCTGACCAGTAAGGGCCCACAATTTGACTGACAGGTGTTGCTTGTTTTAACAAGAGGCTAATGTGTCCAAGTTTCCTTGTTTATATTTCAAGGCCAGCGTTGTTACATTTTGGGTTAATGTTACATTCTGCGTCAAAAGTTGTTACATTGCGCGTTAATGTTACATTTTGCGTTATTTGTTACATTTGCGGCGTAACAAACAATCTTTGCATTAAAACTAGCAAATACAGTCGAAGCTCTCGTAAGCGACCACCTCGGGAATTCGAAAAAGTGGTCGTAACAAGAGCTGGTCGCTTATGACAATGGGCTGTGGTAAGTGACCACGCGCTGAAACTATTGAGGCTGGCGATTTACGAAATGTATGAAAGTGAATGTACAGTACTGTACAGGTCACGCATCCACAGAGATTGATGTCTCAGAAATGTGTTGCACAACAAATGGTCGCTTACGAGAGCTTAAAAACAAAGGAAACGTCTAGTTGGTAATTCCCAAAAGTGGTCGCGGTCGCTTACGGATGCCCGGAGCGGTCGCTTAGGAGAGCTTTTAATTCCAGAGTGCGCTTTCAACCAGTAAAACCTGGCAACATTCGACGTGGTAATATAGTGGAGCCTAAATGAAAAGCACACGTTCCGGCCTCATCCTTCTACAGCGCCTTTCAATAACACGCGAACTCTGAAGTTCAAAACCCAACTTACAATTGCGTTTTTCGCTGCCGTCAATCATAAAATTACGAAGACAACCAACTCGAACCAACGGACCGTGAAAGAAATCTACCAATCACAATCCACGGACGTGAACTTTTGAATGGATTACTAAATGATTGACGGCAGCGAAAAACGAAACCGTCGATTAAGCAGAGTTCCCGAGAGTTCGCATGTTATTGAAAAGCGCTGTAAGGCGGCCACCTCCCGGCTAAGACAGACAGTTGGTGCTGGTCCCGATGGGATTTGTCTTAGAGACTCCAGAGAGTTTACTGTATTTCCAAGTACAGTCAACCTCCCGTAAGCGGACACCCTCGGCAAGCACAAAAAGTGTCCGCAACTGGAGTTGGCCGCTTACCGATACGGGAATGTGTAAATACAGTGTTTGTATGAGCTAGAATTCAAACAGGGTTTTGTCAAGGAGGCCGTAAGTATAGAGCTGTCCGCTTACGAGAGTGTCCGCTCCGAGAAATTCGACTGTCCAGTCAAACCTCCCGTAAGCTGACACCCTTGGGACCAGAAAAAGCGTCCGTTTTAAAAGAGGGGGTGTCCGCTTATAGGAAGCTAAAAGTGTAGTGTTAAAACGTATGTAGCTGGGAACATGACTAATTGTCCGCTTACGAGAGGTGTCCTCCTACGGGAGGTGTCCGTTAGCGGAGGATCGACTTAACATACCTTCTTGTAGCTC